CACACACACACACACACACACACACACACACACTTGGTCCGCGCACAATGGTCCAGAATTTCATACAAACAGCCCTCCAAGTCCCGGCTTTTAGGGCACTGTGATGGTCAAAAAGCGCGTCAGATTGCTTAGAGAAAGGAAATACGCTTAAGTGCCGTGGAGACGTAGAGTTTGCGCCCTGCTCCTTCTCCCAAGTGGCTGGCGCTGAGTGAGGCTGCCGCTAGACGTGCAGTCACACCTATGGTTGGCAGTTATTGTGAATGTTCAAACTTATTAACACGTGTCCTGCTCTAATTTATCCTTTGTGTTGGCCTGACGCACCTCCTGTGTCGCCCGTTATAGAGGCACATAGTCACATCACACAGTTCTTCCTATTTTCCCCATTCTACCAGCCTACAGGTGTAACGTACAGAGAAGTAAGGCACAAGCATATCTTGATCTTACCACTGGATGTAGTGACTGGCTATTTAGAACATTGACTGTGCACATTAGTGTAAGCTGTGAGGGATAATTTTCAGCAAAAAATATAGAGTCAATATAATAAATTTCGATGAAAAATTGTCTTTGCGTGAAATTGAAGCCTAGGTAGGTGGCGAGGCGACTTAAGTGGTCGGATAACGCAGAATGCGTGATCCGAGCTTTCACAGATGATGTCTAAGTCTTTTATCGGCTGTATTCTAGGTTAGACCTTAAGAAGATGCGAGCCTAGACTTGCCGATATTGACTACTTGTTAAAATGGACGCTTGTAGATTGCGGTTGGAGATGGCGCCACAGATGGCTACAGTTGGGTTTTATTTGCCGGAAGGGATCCAGTGGCTGGAAGTGTGATTTCCTGGATGAATGAAGGGGCGTTGAGGGCATCACATTCCCACAGTGTCTCGGGTGATATCTTCGAGATTACTTCACTAGTTCTAGAAAGTAGCTTGTCTGGGTGTTGGAAACAGCCTTTCACAGTCACAGTCCGAGAGTCCATGTAGGAGCATTTAAGAAGTAGGTGCGCAGACGTCCCCAGTTAAGCGTTCCTGCCAGTATCTTAGATAATCAGTGTAAAGTCACTTTGTATTCGATGAAAGCCCAGTAGATGGTCGCTTATTAGTCGCCTAAGAAGGACTGAATCGGACCTTGATAACGCTTGCGTCCCTCAGCGTTCTCCGCAAGGCTTTCAGAGGCAACAAAGACATATTAGGGTGATCCACGCTTTTGGGAGGACGGTTTGGCAGCAGTGTTCAGTTACTACGTGCCCACTCCCATTTGGGAGTTTCAGAAGTTCGCTATGAGTTCGGTTCCCCCTCGGCCCACAATTGCGCTGAGGGCAAAATAGTGTTGAGATCATTCGCCAGCGTTTTAGCTGCTGCCGATTTTAAAGAATTCCAGAGTCTGCTGTAACAAAGCATACTAGGTCGACTTTCCTATACTGCTCAATAATAGCTGAACTAATTTACTATCTGCAATTCTGTGTACCAATAACATTCGCGCTCTGGATTACACCGCGAGACATGGGTTCTAGTGCCCTTATTTTTATGTGGTAGCGGAAAGACCATAAACTTGTGGTAAACGTAGCCTAAAGGACTTTGTTTACTGGGAGTGGTAAGCATCTGAGCCTGAACATTGTTGTGGGGCCGAGGAAGAACTCACCTGGCGCCTTGAGGAATCCATCGAAAATGGCCTTCTTGCTGAACGAACGTAATTTTTCTTTCAATTCGGTGTTCTCCTTCTCAAGGGCTTCGACATCATTCTGCAGAGTGCCAAGTGCTTGCTCGTACTCCCTTTGATACATAAAACAGAATTCTGGTCAGTTCAAAACTAAGAAACGAAGCAGACAAACAGGGTCATTTTACAAATACGGACAGGAAATCATCCCCTGTGCCTGAACAGTGGTTAGCGTTGTAAGTCACGCAAACCAATATAATGCACTCAGAGCATGTTGGAAAAAGGAAATTGAACAACTTTAAGCTGGCCGGAGTGAGGATGAGAATAGCATCAGGCAATCAACTACAAAGGTGGTGGAAGTACTAAAGACGATCGTCAGCAACAGTTGTATCAAAAACATTCGAGCAATACAAGGGAACACCAAAGTCGGGGTGGCCACGAAAATAAGGCAGCATAATTGTGTAAATGCAGTTTGAAAACCTGGAGAGCAGTAAAAACAAACCCCATGTGGGATTAACAGACGTTGAATGCTGACATTGTCAGGATAATACTAACAAGCCGTCTTATAGGGAAATGGGGAGATAACCCACAAGAAGCAATGAGCGAGTGTCGAATAGCACTAACTGGTGGTAAGAGCTGCGAAACCAGATTTAAAAAAACATTCACCAGTACTTTAGGTTTTCGATTTGAAGGGTTTCGAGAGAGAATGAGGGAAAAACGTACTTTTCGGTGGACTTCTGCTCGCTTTGCGATTGTTGGAGGCGTTGTTCAAGTCGTGCAATTTTCTCCAGATTACCTTTTCCTGAACTCTCAGCCTTCTTTTCGGCCAGATTAACACGCACAGCCATCTCACTGAGTTCGTCGGCTCGCATCTTCAAAGCCACATGCAACTCACGGACCTCCTCCTCCTTCAACTCCAACTTGCCTTTACAGCTCTCCAGATCAGCCTGCGCTCGACGATGCGCAATCGAACGAAGAATGACCGGCTCCTGAGACTGCAATATCAAGACCAAAAAGTAGATAGATATCAGCTGAACTAAACACAAACCTTATCGAAAGTTGCAGCGATTTCTGCTTTGATTAACTAAATTTCCGCAATTGGTGGCCGCTACACAAACAAAGACTGTCGGTGCTGCAGAAGGAAGGCTTAGATTAGGAGAATAAAGGGTGCCAACGAAAAAAATTGTTACGGATTGGAGGCTATGAAAGGACTAAAGTGCAGGCAGGTCCGGAAGGTTATATATCCTGCAGTTCGATCAAATTAGTTAAAAAGAAGGGTTTATGGCTTTTTTAGCACAACTTACAAGCTAAATCCCAAGTGTCTTAAGGCAGAGCCAACTTTTTCTTTGAACAAATACGTCGCAAAGTTCACAAATTCATACTTCACGTATGCAAATTCGTGTCGTCCTATGCTTAGGAGATGTTTTTTTTCGTCTTAGGCGTTTATTTTCCCCCATATCATCTAAATTAATCTAAACGTATCGCTCGCTGCGGCCCAACAACACATCCGTTGGCGAATGAAAGGTCACCGATCGGTTACGTGACGCGCTCCTCTCGTTCTGCCTTGCAGCTCACCCTTGAGCCCCGCCAACAGCCGCACAGCGGCTTATATTAAAGACAGGTGAACACTGCTGACAAGGGC